CTTCCTTCCTTCCTTCCTTCCTTCCTTCCTTCCTTCCTTCCTTCCTTTGGACTTCCATTTCCTTTCTTCTCAACCTCATTTCAATTTCCTTCCTTCACATTTCCATTTTCTCCTTCCCTCCTTCCCTTCCTTCTCATTTCCATTTCCTCCCTCTCTCCCTTCCTTCCCACTTTCTCATTTCCTTCCTTCCATCCAGATGTTGCCAAAGGTTGGAGCCTCTGCAAGCTTCAGCCCAGAAACTGGTCTGAAAGTGCGGACTTGGTCCCAAAGGTGGGTGATTTTTCTCCCTGTTCTCCAGGGATAGAGAGAGAGAAAAAATATATATATAGATAGTCAGCATCCCAATCGAACCCCAAAGTCCCACCCATTTCATCTGTGGCCCCGACAACCGAGTCTCTTCCCCCTTCTCCCCCCAAAATGTGAGGCGTGACCCTCCTCGTAACGGAGGCCAAATGACGCAGAGAACAGGTTGGGTTTTAAACGACCCTGCCATCGAGACATCCACCCGAACACACACGCGCACGCACACACAAACAGATTGCAAAATAATAATAATAATAATAATCCCCAGGGAAGGTGGGCTTCTTTCATGGCCGAAGCGACCAAAACGAAACACTATATGATGGCTGTCAGCCAGCCACCTGTTCTTGTCCCTAAACAAGAGTGAGCTGCAGACACCCACGCCAAATGGCAAGAGGGTCCCTAGGGACCCCCGACTCCTTCAACCGTGCACCAAATAAGGATGTCTTTTTTGGAGCAAGTGTATTTTGAATATTCCACCCCACCCCAAGGGCCTGGAAGCTGTGAAATAACCCCTGGAATACATCTATACCCGTATCTATATCTATCTATATCTACCTATCTAAATCTTTCCATCTATCTATCTCTATCTCGATCTATATATCTAATCTATATATCTATATTGTATCTATATATCTATATCTATCTTTGTATCTATCTATATTTCTATCTATATCTCTCTACCTCTATCTATCTATCTATCTATCTATCTATCTATCTATCTATCTATATCTACCTATATCTATCTATCTTTCTATATCTATCTATCTATCTATCTATATCTTTTTTCTATCTAGATCTATCTATCTATCTATCTATCTATCTACCTATCTATCTATCTATCATCTATCATCTATCTATCTATATCTACCTATATCTATCTATCTTTCTATATATATCTATATCTTTTTTCTATCTAGATCGATTTATCTATCTATCTATCTATCTATCTATCTATCTATCTATCTATCTATCATCTATCTATCTATCTATCTATCTATCTATCATCTATCATCTATCTATCTATATCTACCTATATCTATCTATATCTTTTTTCTATCTAGATCGATCTATCTATCTATCTATCTATCTATCTATTTATCTATCTATCTATCTATCTATCTATCTATCTATCTCAGTGATTAAAGATGCTTTCAGAGTAGGAATCTGAAAAGTGATTGGCTTGATTTCTTTCCAATGTCCCGGGGGAGCCTGCAATACAGGCAGTCCTCGACTTACGACTGCCATTGAGCCCAACGTTTCTGTTGCTGAGCGAGATGTTTGTTGAGTGAGGTTTGTCCCATTTTACGGCCGCGTAAAGTGGGACAAACCCAAAGTGTGGATGCTTGTGTGTTTTTAGGGGGCAGGGAATTTTGGCAGGTGGGGAGGTGTTTGGGGATTGTCATGTGTGTGTGCATGTTGGGTGTTATGTGAATTTTGTTGTGTGTGTTTGCTATGTATGTACATACAATGACAATTAATAATAATAATAATTAGTGAGGAAGGGGGAGGGAGCACCCAACAGCCTCGTATCATCATCTCCCTTCCGTTCCCTTTCAGAGAAGGGTTGTGCAAAGGAGAAAATAAAGAGGAGTCCAATAGAAGGACTTTGTAGCTCAGGCTTGAAAGGAGGGGTTTGTTTCCTTGAAGACGTTTCATTACCCAACTAGGGAACATCATCAGGGCTGCAAGAAATGTCTGCAAGAAAACAACCAAGCTCAGAGAGCACCCAAGCACCTGGGAGCCCATCTCTTTCTCCCCCTGCCCCCCTTTAGTCCTTTTAGAAACACTTGGAGGTGATGGAATTACAGAATAACAGAGCTGGAAGGGAACTTTGAGGTCTTCTAGTCCAACCCGCTGCCCAAGCAGGAGACTGTCTACAATCCGGACAACTGGCTGTCCAATCTCTCCTTTAAAAACCTCCAGGGATGGAGGGCCCCCGAGTTCTGGAGGCAAGGGGAATTCCTTTCCTCTCCTTTCCTTTTCCTTGTCTTCCCTTCTCTCTTCTTCCTTTCCTTCTCCTCCCTTCCCTTCCCTCTTTTTTATCTCTTCTTCCCTTCCTCTTCGCTCTCTTCTTCCCTTCCCTTCTCTCCCCTCTATCCTTCCCCTTCTCCTCCCTCCAAGTTTCTTACTCCCAACTAGCCTTCTAGGGGCACGCTAGCCCTATTCAGCAGAAGCCCTTCCAACCCCCCAGCTGGACCTGGTGCTAGGATGGTTAAATCACCCATGAGTTAGGTTCTCATGCCAACCCCACCCGTGTGGGTTTCACAAGAGACCGGCTGTCCAAGGCTACTAGGTTAGCTTCAGAACTGGTCAAAGTCTCTTCCGAGGTAGGATGAAGGAGCGCTACTACTATCTGTATTTGCAAATTTCCCACATTTAGCTATTTGGCCACTTGGTGGCGCCAAATTCCTGGTTGGATCCTGGTTGGATCTAGCGGCTTTCTTCCTCTCTCTTCCCCCTCCCCCCCCCCAACCTTATTCTAACCAAAGAAATTAAGCATTGAGATCTGCAAGTCACAGGCCTCGATGAAGAGCTGGCAAGGACGTTTGGCTACCTGCATTTCATAGGAGGATTTGAGAGAGAGAGAGAGAGAGAGATGGATGTGTGATAGACGGATGATAGATAAATAGATTAGAAAGAGAGAGAGAGATATGGATAGATGATAGATAGATGACTGGTAGATAGATAGATAGATAGACAGACAGACAGACAGACAGACAGACAGACAGATAGATAGATAGATAGATAGATAGATAGATAGATGACTGGTAGATAGATAGATAGATAGATAGACAGACAGACAGACAGATAGATAGATAGATAGATGGATGGATGACTGATAGATAGATAGATAGATAGATAGATAGACAGACAGACGACTGGTAGATAGATAGATAGATAGATAGATAGATAGATAGATAGAT